GGTTTCCAAATGCCATTATGTTCAAACAATTCATTATCAACAGAGTAAAAATACCCTTTGGAATACCATTATCAAGCAATAAAACTACGTTTTCTTGTAAAGTGAAAAGCAAAATAAGTTCTGGGTCTAGCATTGGGAAATTTTGTATGACGTCATCGAACACAATAAACGAATCCCGTAGAAAAGCGTTAATACCAATGAGAAAAATACCAACAACAGGTGAAGGAACAACAACATAATAACAAAACAATCCATATGTACATTTCGTGTCCAATAAGAGGAAGGCAGTAATTTTGATTTTTGTTTCGTTCAATTTTGACACAATACTATGTTAACACTTAAGTATACCGAATTATCATTTCAAAGGCTTGGGAATGTGATGTCATATTTTAAACTGTGACGTGGCGATATGGGGTTGCGAAACTTAATATTCTTGAAGTTTTCCCAAATGTATAGTTTGCGTCATTTTTCATCATCGAAAATCATCCATCTTGACAATTTCTTCGAAACGACTGGCTAGATATAACGATAAACTTCAACAATGAAATAGTCCACTGATTCACAACGTACGTACAGGAAACTACGTAAATAGGCTTCTTCAAAAAAATCTGCTTGGAATGCAAGATAGTTTATTCAAATATTTGTATGGGCTATTGAATAAAATATCTGACATTTCGATAATTTGCTAAATGAGGTTGAATATGTCTATTCGGATAAGTCATCCTAATCTCACTAGCTCCAATACATTGCTTAAAATATGCTAGAGAGGGGGCAAGCAACCCTAATAGAATTACACTCAATATCATTCAAGATGTTTTGCACTCTAAGTTTATTTTATTCTTACAATATTTATTATTTACACAATTTCATCCAAAAAAAAAGAAAAATACAATTTGCTTACCCAACAGAACTCTGAAAATTGAGCCTATTTCAACTAAAAATTGAAACCTATATAACTAACCTAAGAAACAGTCCATATTGAGTCCACGAAAAGTTTAATTTTAGTTTTAAAATATACAACAAACGATATTAAAGGTATTGCAGAAAAGTTGCATGAGAACTAGTAATTGAAAGTCGATATCCCTGCATCGGTTGATGCTTTTGCCCGATACAGATATACATTATGAAGCGTGCCAGTATATGTTTTCCCTGTTTCAGAAATTAAAAAAAAGATTGCATATGTTCCTATATAGTTTCTAGAAAAGTAAAAAAAAAGATCTTAGAACAGTCGAAATAATTTCACACATTTTCCTTCTATGTTTCAACGCAAGTTACAATCGGCTTTGAATTCTGATCGGGAAAAATCACATTACAAATTATAGATTTCGTTGACAACAACTTCTTGCTCGGATCTGGCATTAGATGCCTCATTAACAACGCTGTATACATGTTCGCATTTATTTCCCTGGCTTGTATTCGCGACTTCCACATTTGCAGTTGGCTGTCCTTGTAGCTGGTAACTGATGTTTCGACATCTAAAATTAGGGTGAAAAAATTATTGTGAGTAGATTCGCCCTATTACTATTTCCTACTTTTGAACATATTTGATATGATTCAAAAAGGTTTTTCCCGTTTTCTAAAACCCACAAAGGATGCAGCATGTTTGGAATTCTTTGTTTGCAAATTCTGGTTGTTGCTATCTAACAATTCAATCTCTTTCAATATGTTTGGAAACATGCAACTCAACGGTTGCTTATACAAGACTAATTTAAGACTCTAAAATTATCGATTGATTCATAACTATATACAGTATTTTATACCGAATCGCTTCGTAATAAATAGTCACCAACCTGACAATCACCACAAATAGAGCGACCAAAACTATAAACAGAAGAATCCCAAAAATTATTGCGAGTTTGCGGTCCGTAAATACTGCTTGATCTTGTTCAGAAATTTTGGTCGAGTGTTGAGCAGTTGTTGACATCTGCTGTAAAATTGCGATTTCGTCAACTGCAAATTAAATTATGTTCAATATTACCAACTTGTTAACGGCGTGCAACCTCAATCATTTTATTAACCAATCAAGTATTTTTTTATTTATAAAATATTTATCTCCATAATATACCGCATCCTTCGTAATCCAGTGCGGAACAAATAACTAGGATGAGCACTTCATGAAAATTCATTCTTGGTTGATTGCTTCCACCGTTTCCACTGCATTCGTTGATTTTTGTTATAATCATCATTATTTGAATTTCATAACATGAATTAAATTCAAGGGTTATCTAGTTATTGTGTCCACTGTGGGTAACTATGGCTTTAATAGTGTAGTTGGATTTGTAATGGTATTGGGTTGGGTAATGCTCCTCAGGTGACGTATGTACATAAAATGGCACCAGTGACAATGTTTGCAAATGCGCGCTCTTGATCGTTGACTGGCAACAATTATTTAATTAAGTAAAAATTTGAGTTTTAATTCTTCTCCAAGTTGAGAATATTTTACTGAAACATTTTACGATTAGAACTTTTTACCCATTTTGCGCCCAATCCATTCGGCACCCATGGCACAAGCCACGGCTGTCATACCTTAGATACGCCACTGTACATATGTTGCTTCTATCTATAGTCGTGTATAAAGCATTTTCATTTCTTACCCGATGAGGTAAATGACCGATAGATGATTCTAATTTCGAAGTGTTGCCAAAGCTTAAAAACCCAATATTCGGACTCATACTCAATAGTAATTGGGAAAATATTTTCCATGTTGGTCCATATTACTTTGGTACAAGCGTCGGCAATGGAGGCGTTGACACAAGTAGAGCGTTTGGAGAAAAAAACGAAGCAGGTGTTTTCATGGTATTCGCAAATATTCTTGCTTTCAAGATAAGCTGCAACGAGAATGAAATATGTTTGAGACCGTGTTTGTTGTTTGCACCATTGTTGGTGAAAAATGCTTTACCTGAAATGGTAAGAGATCCGTAACAGTCGGAGAAAGGTTTTAGATCCATCTTCGTCAATCTCACAAGTAAGACCTCGTTTTTGGATTTACAATTTTGATTGGTCAGAGTCCATCTAAAGCTGACTTTATTATATTCCTTATACCCGATAGATCTTATCGGTTGTGGGCATACATTTATGTTTTCTCCAAGAAGTCCACGTGCCAAAGCTGAAAAAAAATTGACAATATATTTTTTCTCGTGATATGATTAATTCATGTTCATATAAATAATTAATATATTCATTTTCTTCTTTGCTGTTGCAGAATATTTTAATTAGATGTCACTGATATCAGATTATTGCTCATTGTAAACCAATACTACAGCAATATTCAGAGTGGTCTGTGGAAATAACTTCTTCTGCATAATACCAGTGTACAAAAACAGCGCTCTGCAATTTTGTACGGTTTCCCCCAATCTGCTGGGGGTATATTATGTTGAGTGCCGGATTCGATTTTGAGTCAAACAATAACACTTTTTGAAACGCATTCCAAATCGCGATTATTGCAGAAGAGGTAACAAAGATATGTATTAAAAATACTGCGTCTCACACTTTTTTGTTCTTGTCCTACCATTTCCCACTTGTTCCGATTTTGTCATACACTTTCACCGTGTCTCTACCACGAATGCCACCCCATATGTTAACTATAACGATTTGCCCAAATTTTTATATATATCCAGAACTTAAGATGTATCCCATCTGATATACCTAAATAATCAGTTGTTTCCAATTTTATACGTATTCTGAGCCAAAACAGTGGTACAAGTGATTTGCCATTCACAGTGTTTACATTAAAGTTCCCAGTACCGCCATACTTGCCTAGGACATCTAAGATATACAAGGCGAAATATCTTGACATCATCCTTCTCATCGGTATTTCTCTTTTCACGTTGCCAGAATAGAAACTTCTCTTGAAATTGTAAATACAGTTTTTATATCTGAGTTATTCTTCATCTACTATGCTTACAACTTTTTTATATAACTGATGCATCATAGGATGGCACGTACAAATATATTGTGCAAAGTGCTGTGAAGTGTCACTGCTGAAGTAATACTTAGAACAAAGTGATATTTGCACACTAAAATGTAGGTGAATGGAATTCGTGGGCGACCATTTGGGTATTGTGTACAAAGCAGTTTTGCGTTGTAGGTTAGTATTCTTCCCAGATAAAACTGTGGCATTGACGCGTGATGATTTGCTTGAATGGGGTTCTTAGGAACAAGCATTGTCATGTGAATAACCGCAAACATGCGTTTTAGGAAATAAACATTCGTCACAATTTCCTCATCGGATTCTACGACATTTCATCTGACACTCAATTTCTGATGGCAATGTAAAGATAAAAATTACCGTCTTTGACCAAACCCGTCAAAATTTATAGTAAGACTGGGTTTCTCGTTTTGTTGCAAAAATATTATTTTTGAATTTTGATGACTTCCCAAACATTTCGTTTTATGCTCCATTTAATCGCTATAGAAAATCATCCATTTTACCATTTCCTGAAAACAATTGGCTAAATATAACGATACACTTTATCAGTGAACTAGTCCACAGTTATACTACGTGCGTATGGGTAATCACGGAAATGCAAGCTTTCTTGACAAATCTGCTTGGAATGAAAATATTTGTATGGGCTTTTGAATGAGAAATTTGACATAACAATGAGTTGCTATATAAGGTTGCATATGCCTATTCAAATATTTCATCCCAACCTCAGTAGCTCCAATACACTGTTTAAAATATGCTAAGGAAGGTGTCGAGCGATCTGAACAGAATTATACTCAATAGTATTCAAGATGTTTTGCATGCTAAGTTCATTGCTTTCTTAAAATATTTACACAATTTCATCCAAAAAAGAAGAACAAATACACTTTGCATAGTATACCAAACGCAAAAAAATTGAACTTATTTCAACTAATCTAAAATATAATAGTTCATATTGAGTTCTCATCAAAATGTTTAAAATATACAACAGACGTTAAAGAAATAGATATGTTGCATGAGAACTATTAACTGAAAGAGATATCCCTGCATCGGTTAATCCTTTTGTCCGATACAGATACATATTATGAAGCGTGTCTATATATGTTGAATATTTCAAAAAAGAATGATTGCATAATGATTATAGAGTCTGTACAGAAGTTAAAAAAGATCTTACGAAAACAATTATTATATTATGAAAGTCGATATCTTTGGTTTTGCCCGTTACACATATAATTAGAAAAAGTGACTATATATGTTCCCTTTTTTCAAAAAATAAAAGATGATTGCTTGTAGAGAAGTGAAAATATTTTGAAACAACGGAATACCTTTTTTTGTTTTACAACGCAAGTTACTATTTTTTTTACCGGTATATCGAATTCTGGTATATCGAAATTCTCTTCACAAATTATAAAGTTCGTTAACAACAACTTCTTGCTCGGATCTGGCATTAGATGCCTTAATAACGCTGTATACAGGTTCGCCTTCACTTCCCTGACTTGTGTTTGCGGCTTCCACATTTGGAGAAGGCATGTGTTGTGGAATATGGAGTGTTTGTTGCTGGTTACCAATCTTCTTTCGAAATCTAAAATTTTCAAAAAGATATGAACACAGCATACTCCATCAATAATACGTTAAAATATATGTGATAAAAATCAAAACGATATTTTTCGTTTTTTCAGCCGCACAAAGGATACCACAATTATTTGTTTGCAAATTCTGGTTATTCACGCTAGCTAGCAACTCAGCTACATGATATCAACAGAACGTAACTGAATAACTTCAATAGTTTTGAAAACATCTTTCAACCGCCCATAGAACTTTATTGAAAACAAACGCACTAAAACCTTCGAAAATATGTTTAAGTAATCACCAACCTGACAATCCCCGCAAAGAGAATGATCAAAACAATGAATAGCAGAATCCCAAAAAGTATTGCAAGCGTGCGTTCCGAAGACACTGCTTGAACTTGTCCGGAATTGCTGGATAAAACGGTTGATTGTTGAGCAGTTGTTGACATCGGCTGTACAGTTGTGGTTTCGTCAACTTGAAATCAAGAAATGAAATCATGTTCAATTTAGTTCAACATTAACAACCTTTCAATCGATCGTGTAGTTAATAATAAGGCATAAGATACATATTAACGATCGAAAAATTGTGTTTCATTTGAAGACAGCAATTCGTTTTTGTAAGTTTTTATTTTGATAATTTGGCGCAGCACGAACAAAAAGATTTGGAACCGCCGACATAAAGCGTTCTCGCTGCATTTTCGTTATGATTATCATGTACCTGAATAAATTTAATCCAAGGGTAGTGATTCGGTTGGGTAATGGTATTGTGTCGGGTAATGTATAGCTGACTTTCATCTGTTGTTCATACAGCTATGTATAAAGCATTTACATTTCTTACCTGATGAATTGAATGACTGGTAGATGATTTCAATTTCGAATTGTTGAATATGGCCACCAGCCCAATGTTTCGAAGAATACTTCACAGTAATCGGGAGAATATTCTCCATTCTGGTCCATATTACTTTGGTACAGGCGTCGGCGATGGAGGCATTGAGACAAGTGGAGTGTTTGGGATAAAAAACAAAGCAGGTGTTTACACGGTATTCACAAATGTCCTTGCTTTCAAGATCGGCTGCAAACAAAAAGAATTGTATTCAAGATATTGTTTATACCATTATTACTGAAAGTTTGTTACCTAAAATTTCCAGATATCCGCGGCACTGAAAGCGCTGACAACGTTTAATATTCATCTTCGCCAATCTCAGAAGTAAAACCGCGTTTTGAGATTTACAATTTTGATCAATCAGAGTCCAACTATTGCTGACTTTGTCGTTTCTCTTATATCCGATCGATCTAGTTGGTTGTGAGCATACATTAATGTTTTCTGCAAGGAGTCCACGTATCAACGCTGAAAATAATAACAAATAACTGCTTTTCCTGATATGATTGAATTACCTACAACTATTGCGAATTTTTCATTGTTGCTACTCATCATCGTGTATTTTGATGTTTTTCATTTGTTGGTTGAATGTTTTAATGTACAGAAATACATTTGTGTTAGTGTGCAGGAAGACATTCGATTTGCATAGTATGGTCATGTTTATTCCTGCTACAGCATCCTTGCATTATACGCATGCGGATCCACTAGCGCAAATGCATTGAGGAGTGATTGGGAGTTAGTCTCGCGTAACGTCTACTGATAGTTATACCAAAAGTTGGTTGCTAAATAGTTCACAGACGTTCGTACTTGGCGGGATTTTATTTTGTTTTTGAAGCGAACTGTTACCTGGGTTGAGTGTCGGGTTTGCCATTTAGTAAGAATCTCACGAACAAAACACCTTTCAAAGCACACATTAATGAACCACGACCTCGTAAAACCGATTATGTACCTTGTATAATATATGACATATGCAGTCATAACCGCATACTCTTACAGTTCTGAGAATGATTTTATTCGAGACTGTTCAACTAGACTAGAGCCAATTACAGGTCTAATCATAAACCTACGAGTTCATCAGTCTATTTTGTGATTTGGCAGAATTAAATCACTCAGCAACTTACCTGAATATAGAAGCGTTTTGAGCATTCCAGCTTTCTTCATTTAATTTGAACTCAATATACCGTACAATTGCACTTTCATTTAAATAAAACTAACACCTTCCGAGCTTTTCTGATTGATCAGGCCAACAAATCGAAACAAACGTGCTTTCAAAATAATTCGTTTACTTTACTTCAGCTTATAGTCTCCTCTTCCCTCATTATGTAAATGAACAGGAAATATTCGTAATAGGTCTCTTGTATTAGCGAATGCAAATATATTATGTAACCTATTGTTATAAAAAGCCTTATTTTGCAGAAATCATTAGGTAAATTTCGGACAATTCATGGCCTTATTCTGAGTCACCTATGTAAAACAGATAATTATTTTAAATTTAAATTTACATACATATTTTAGAAGCTGTAAAATAGAAGCTTCGGTTCAGTTTTCATAGGTAATATTCAACATATAATTGTTTTGGAATCGTAATTTTCAGTTAAAAATGAAAGTCTTTCAGACCCCAATGTTTTTGCCATCGAATAATTTTTGTCAATTATGATTCAAAATCGGAATTTTTGAATCACTCAAATTGTGGCTCGGGGGTGTGGCCGGTCGTGCTCGTGTTAGGAATACGCTCGCCACCGCGCATCTGAATATCCTGTGTGGGTTCGAATTCCGTAGGTTATGAATATGTGCGAGAGGATTGCTGGACTTCTCGCCGCCGTAGGGTGGTTCATGTAATCTCTGGTCGGTCACAGCTTCCTCCATCATCAGGTCCATGCATCTGAAAACAAATACCTGGCCAACTAATCCCATACTCGAGATGGACTGGTAACCAGTGAGGCCGTGGTTCGTCATATGATTAAGTCGTCTCAGAGGCTTTCCTCTCCCCTCGATAAATATGTAAATTCTATCCAATGTTTGTTTTCCTACCAGAAACTACCATAATAATAAATATGGTGATAATAAAATGAGAAACTCATTTTTCCTTCAATTTTGGATGAAAATTAGCTAAATATTTTAAGAAAGAAATAAACTTAGTATGCAAAACATCTTGAATGATATTGAGTATAATTGTTTTATTTGTTTTATAATTTTAAGCAGTATATTGGAGCTACTGAGGTTAGGATGACTTATCCGAATACGCATATTCAAACTCATTTAGCGACTTATTAAAATTTCGAATCTCATTCTCTCATTCGAATGTCCATACAAATCTTTGAATAAATTATCTTGCATTCTTAGCAGGTTTGTCGAGAAAGCTTGCCCTTACGTAGTTTTCCGTACGTACGATGTGAATCAGTGAACTAGTTCATTGTTAACATATATCTCTATATTTAATTAGTGGTTTCTAAGAAATAGTCAAGATGGATGGTTTTCTATGGTGACAAATTGGGCATATTTCCTAGCTATATATTTAGGAAACTATCAAGCATATTACGTTTCACAATAAAACTAGTAACCCCATATCGCCAAGTTTGAAATATGACAACATAATACAATCCCCTTGACATAAACCTGTTTGCCATAGTGTTTGTACATTCTACGTCAAGAGAACTTGCTTCTGGCAGTATTACTACTTCCAAACCAGCACAGCCACGAGTAGTCAGTATATTGATGTCATATATTTTGAGAAACGAAAATACGCGAAACTCAGATCTATGTTTAATAATTATTATCAAACAAAATTATTTCTAATTAACGCATAAATCACAATTATATATATAGTGCGCAATAGTATATCTAACATGAACATGACATAACTCATGTTGGAATTATAATCAAAGTGAATTGCGCCAATTACATCCGATTGCTAATTTCCTCTCTTACAAACACAATAGTTCTTCGATATTTGTATAAAAGAAACATATTGTATTTCAGTGTTTCCCAACCTACAGAAATCATGTTGGGTCGATTGATTTCTCAACAAAAATTTAATTTTATTTTTTCACTAAATTTCATCGTTTGTTTTATATTTGGTATGGAAGTGTTGCGCAATTGCATACATACGTTCAACCGGTCTACGTAAGATAATAGAATTATGATAAAATTCTTCACAGCATCAATAGATTCCACGAGCATATTTAAAACATCGAATGCTTAAACTCTAACATTACAAATACGATTGGAAGGTCTAGTCTAGATAAAAACAAACAACTAATTTCAAAACACAAGACGCAATGCACTCTCGGTGAATGCATGACCCTAAAAATTTAAAACATGAAAAAGATACTGATTCTAAATAGAAATATTCGAAGGAATATAATTCACAGAAAGTAATCAGTGAGATCCAACAGTACTTTATAATTTCGATTTTAGTCAATTCGAAAACGCATGACATGTCAGTGGTGAATGTTCTCAACCTTGGTGTTTAGATTGCTTTCTAATGTGGAAGGGTTGTTAGTTTTTCTCAGAACAAGTAAGTGATTACATGTACAGCTACAACGTGACGGTCAGCCGCTTTCATACTCAAAATGGCGGACACCGGAACTTAGTATGTGTACCAGGTAAGGATTAGGCCATAATTTTAATGAAAATTTCCTAATTTTAATTCTATTACAAGTTCACAGACTAGCCAAGTGGCTCCCGCAGTATTTGTACCTGAAATTATGGCTGGACCCTAACCTGGTACACATACTACGTTCCGGTGTCGGTGAAATCACTCTTGTTATATATCCATTTAGAAACGTGTCATGTTGATCTGCTTCAATTAGATTAGAATATATTGAATTACCATATCGATAATCAATTAGAACAAGGTTTTTCTTTAGGAAAACTATTTTAATTCATCCATATTGAAATTCAAATTAACTTAATTAAATATTACATATTATCTCAATTCTTGAAACCACACGATCAAATTTAAATGCTTTTATTTTTTTTTCTATGCTTGTTACCTAAACATATGAGGAATACAACTCAAAATGCATCAAAGCTAAAAAAAAAGAACTTTTTGATTAAATAATAGTAGGTTTTCATCAATACAAACTTAAAGTTTCTGCTTCTGGTACCCATGTTCATGGCAACGTTAAAATCATGTTATATTTGTTCTGAGATGCAGTGGGGTGATCTTTTGCGACATTCATGCGTTGCAAGCAATGATTAAACTTTGAAGAATAATGAAGTTGTTATTCAAGGGTCCATTATGCTATCAATTAGAGCTTTAGGATATTTGTTTAATAAAATACTATTGGTCGCGTGGCGGAACTATTAATAGTTTAGCTGAATTGTTGTTGGGTCAAGTAATTGATTGATTTTCTCCACAAATCAATAATCAAAGAGACCATGTCTTTTCAATTATTTGAGTTGTTGTTTTCAGTTGTGTTATATTGAGCAACTTCATCTACGAAGATTTTTCGCGTAACCTGGAATGTTTTAGATTCCGCGTTTTAATTGCTATACAGCAAATATGAACCATATGAACATCGTTTCTTTCTTTTTCAGGCCATGTTATACAATGACCGATCAGTTCTTGGGAATCATCATGCATCAGCGTCATGGGAATTACTTCATTCAAAACCTTCGTACGACTTTCTAGTAAATCTAGACGTCGCTGAGTGGAAACGATTGAGATTTTTAATCGTTGAAGCAATCCTTGCGACAGATCTCAAAAAACATTTTGAATTAATGTCTCGATTTTCGTCGAAAATTTCAAGACGAAACGACGCTAGTTCAGAAGTCGCTGACCCTAGCAGACATGAAGGTGGGATTTGATTTGTTTAGGAAAGGAAGTTTTTCCAATTAGGAACGGACTTCTTTCCAAGAGAAGGATGGGATTTTTTTGGTACTTGCGAAGTATGTATACCAGGTAAGGGTTAGGTCATAATTTTATTCCGATTTTATGTTCATATGCAGCCATACAACAACTATTGCTGCTGTAAAGCAGGGGTCCGGCAACCTTTTGTCGCTTGCGGGCCAAAAGTAAGGGTTGAAGTGGTTGGCGGGCCGCACATATATTTAGAGAGTTGAAAACTGAACCAATGATCCTTTTTATTATTCCATACATTTCGATACATTTCTCGAATAGAACAAAGATTTTTTTCCTTGTTGCATTGCATCTCAAAAATTCCTTTCGAATATTTCCTGCGCCATTGAACCCTTTTCACTTAGCATCAACTTTTCTGCGTTTTGTTGCCATTTGTCTAATTATAATTAAATTAGAATCGCATTAAACGAGTAATTGTGAATAATATACTTTTTAGGTTATAATATAATTTATTCTACACGTGATTCTGTTACTTAAAGAATGTAATCGTAAAAACAGCTGCATTGTTATTATAATTCAGTGAAGCGTCGCGGGCCTGATTATAGTATCCGCGGGCCTTAGGTTGCCGACCCCTGCTGTAAAGTATTTTATTATGAAGAAATACAATCTGTGCGATATATACAAATATCGCCAGTCTATTTTATTTACGAATGAGGAAAAAAGAAAAAAGAACTCAATTCACGTCTTAGATTATAAGTTACACATAAAAATTCAATGGGTTGAAATGATTATGAAATTGTTGAGCGACAAATGGTTTCAATGAACTACATACAATGTGAATATATATCAAATTTTCTAGTGCAATTGCTTCTCTTTCTACTCCATGTCGGATAAATGACATCTACATTTTGTGTATTATTCAAAAGTGTGTTTTTAGCAATCATAAAAATTTATTTGAAAATGAATAAAATTGTAAGATTGCCCAAATAAAAATACTGTCAACTCCTCCTTTATCTCTCTATCTTTTATGATTACCATGCCCAATTTATTTACTATTGCTTCAATTTGTACTTGACCAAAGAGAATTGGAAAACAAGAGAAATTAATGTTTCGAAAATATTACTCAAGGTTGCCAAACAACGTATCTTTAATATAAAGGGTGTCTCAAAAGTAAGTATACACTTTTAATTATGATTCGCTTTTCGGGTACTCATCATAGAGCGTTCATTTTTCAGGAAACATAGTATAGATGAGTAGTAACATTTAGGTATTGTTTGCATTATTCAACAACCCACTGAATGACAAGAAGATTACCCAGAGAAATGAGGTGAAAAATTGCTGTTTTAAGAAGCATATTAAACAGTAAGGCATTCGGCACTTTTACAGCGCAGAATTACGAAATTCTTCAAAAATTCATGGAAACTGGATCTGTAGTTGATGACAAAGATCAGAAAGTCCAAGGAGCGGACGCTCTGAAAAAACATTCGAAGCTGAAATAATTTCAAATTTTTCTGTTAACGAAGGCTCGGTTTGCCTTACTGATTTACATGCTTCTTGCCAAGCAGCAATGTTGCACCACATTGCTTGGGGAAATCTCTTGTCATTCTGTGGGTTGTTGAAAAATGCGAACAATACCTAAATTTTACTACTTATCTATACTATGTTTCCCGAAGAAATGAACGCGTTATGGTAAGTACCTGAAAGCAAACCAAAATTAAATTAAAATTGTATACTTACTTTTGAGACTCCCTGTATATCACTTGGCTTGCTTAAAAAGTTTGTCCTGATAAAAGAATAGTAATGTATTTTTTCTGCTACTACTCAATTTACTCAACAAGAATTCAAAAATGGCTTTTGTCTATGGTTAGAAAAATTGTTGCTTATTCATCAACCTAGTGACGTAATTAACGTTGTAGTTAGTATTTCTATTTACAGACGCTTGATTCAGTTTTAGTCATTCAATGACTGATTCAGATTGAATTGCGTACAACAAAATCGGGATAAATAGAGTGGGTGCTCTTACCAACTTTTTGATATCCGACGGAGTATATGATCGCTATTTTCATTCTTGTGACCTAACTTGTTGCATCACATCACACGTAGGAATTTCTGCATTGAATATTTCTATTCAAATCGAAATACCAATTATTTATTGTATACTAAACCAATTACTAGAAAATGCGCTAAATCGTCAGCTCTGAGATGAATAAACATTATATCAGGCATGCCGTTGTTCCTATCACGTAGGAAACTTTGCAGTTTGCACCTTAATTGTTTTATTGAATTTGAGTTATGAGCGGATTCAATTTCAAGCCAAAACAACTGTGGTATCACGTCGAAAATGATTGGTAACGGCAAGTTTGACTGAATAACCCAAAGATGTAAAATGGAATTTTCATATTTCAGCTGGTGCTGTGGAACCTATGCGTTTATCATATGGCGAACACATCGATCGGTTGCCATTACGATTACCTAAGTAGTTTATTCGTATATTATAATATATACAGTCTTTATTTCAATTCATTTGATTTTGTAAACAATTTCAGTTATTCGTTTATTACAAAATTACACTTAACTTCATGAGATATAAAAAAATAAACTGGAATAACACGTGCAATAAAACTATCAAATGTGACCCTAGTATGACATTGCTTGTTTCGAACAAACCATCACTCGTGCAACAGCGTCACCCGTAAAGAATGCCAACCGCCAACGCGAAACTGGTTGCTACACGGTAAAAACATAGATGACAACCATTGGCAGTCACTTACATTTCCGTGTGTAAATATCACTCTGTTGCAAGTATTACTTTAGCGATGATACTGACAAAGCATTTTGTATACGTGCCACACTATGATGCATCAGTTATATAAAAAGTTGGCAACGTAGTAGATGAATAATAACTCAGAACGTATCAGAACTGCATTTACAATTACGAGAGGCATTTTAATTCTAGCAAAGTAGAAAAGCAAACAACGATTCGTTGAACAATGGAAGGATATTTAGCCTTTTATATATTAGCTATCTTCAGTAAGTATTGCAATCTCCTGGCTGGGAATTTTAATGGAAATAGTGTGCTTGATAAAACACTCGTACCACTGCTTTGGCTTAAAAAAGACTCATAATTGAAACCAAATGGTTAGTTTAGGCATATGAAATGGGGATTCATGATATGTTTTGAGTCAGTAAATCTATAAAATGTTGGGCAGTTGGTCAGAGTAGACATATTGAGTGAGATTCGTGGAATGTTCTGAATTAGATAAGTTATGAAATTTTTTCAATATGGTTAGAGTAAACATATTAAATGGGATTCATGTTATGTCCACGGCTAGCATATTGACCGAAGCGTAAAAGTGCGGGGCAAGTAAGGCACGATTTCTGAAATTTATACACTTTTCTTATTATTAAGTTTTTGATGATTACATTATTTTCAGCTTTGACACGCAGATTTCACGGAGAAAGCATAAATGTATGCTTACAACCAATCAAATCCATCGGATATAATGGATATAGAAAAGTCAGCTTTAGTTGGACGCTGACCAATCAAAATTGTGAATCTCAAAACGAGGTTTTACTCCTGAAACTGGCGAAGATTAATCTTAAACGCAGTGGGCTCTATCAGTGCCGCGGATATCTAAAAATTTCAGGTAAAAACCTTTAAGCACAATAGTGCAAACATTATCTTGACTACAATTCATTATGTTTGCAGCTTATCGTGAAAGCAAGAACATTTGTGAATACTCTGAAAACACTTGCTTTGTGGTTATTCCCGAAAATTCAACTTGGTTTGATGCCTCTATCGCCGACGATTGCACCAATATAAAATTGATAAGAATGGAGAACATCTTTCCGAGTACTGTAACATATGTTTCTAAAAGTTGGGCTAATACGTATTTGCAACATTTTGAAATTGGGATCATCTACCAGTCATCCAATTCAAAAGGTAATAAATGTTGATTTTTTTAAAATACGATTTTCATACATATTTCTGACTAGATCGATTATAAAATTTTCTTGGGTGGTTTGTTCTTTACAAAAACTTGATAGCTACTAATTTCATTTTTCAGTAGATTTTATTGTTTTATCATAACATGAGAACTGGGAAGCATGGGCCTGTAATACATTATCCAATCTCTACCAGGGTATTAATAAAGTGGTTGCAAAAGACTTTGTTCTGGATTATCTATAAATTGAATCTATGTCGTTGATTTTAAAAAATTGATAACAAAAAATAAACGAGTGCACCAGATACCGTCAAAATAATCAACCAAGAGAGATTCTTCATAGAGTCTGAACGGGGGATGTACCTGTCAGCCCAGACGATTTGCCGATAACCATCCAAGTTTTTTGTTCACCATTGAATGACCAAAGGTATGGTTCAGCGGTGTGGCGCATCGTGGTAAGCGTTAGGAATACGCTCGCCACCGCAACTTTGATTACCCCGCGTTCGCAGATTCGAATCCTATGCGACGATAGTTATGTGCGAGAGGATTGCTGGACTCCTCGCCGCGGTAGGGTGGTTCACGTAACCGCTGGTCGGTTACGGCCTCCTCCGCTATCAAGACCATGCTTCCAAAAACAAATACCTAGCTGAATAATTCCATATCCGACATTTACTGTTACCCGGACGACAGGCCGTGGTTCGCCATAGGATTAAGCCGTCTTATCGGCACTCCTCTCCGCGGGATAAATATTTACTGATGTTGAAAATGATTCATTTGCAGTTGACAAAACAACAACTGTACAGCAGATGTCAACAACTGCACAGCATATATCAACGACTGTACAGCAGATGTCAACAACTGCACAACATATATCAACACATGTACAGCAGATGTCAACAACTGCTCAACAGTCGACCGTTTTATTCATCATTTCTGAACAAGTTCAAGCAGCATTCATCGACCGCACACTTGCATTCATTTTTGGAGTTCTACTGTTCATCGTTTTGATTGTCCTCTTTGCTGTGATAGTCAGGTTGGTGTTGCGTTTCACTTGTTTGGTATGGACGATTATATAGAAATTGGCAAATCGATACTTTTGGAGGTATTGCAGGTGTGTTCTGAATGAATAAAAGTCTAAAAAGAATAAGAGGTATTAGGAGTTGCTACCCCTATTGAATATACGTACATTTTAAAACTTATAAATGAAACAACTTCGGGCTGTCTCATAACGATCCTGTTTTGAACATTTTAGATATTGTAGGAAGATCGGTAACCAGCTACAAACACCCCAAGATCAGCAACAACAGCTTCCTCCGAATGTGGAAGCCGCGAATACAAACCAGCAAAATGAGTGCGAACCTGTATACAGTGTCGTTAATGAGGCATCCAATTCCAGATCCGATCATGAAGTTGTAGTCAACGAACTTTATAATTTGTAATAATTAAGTATACCGGTAAAAAAGATGGTAACTTGCGTTGAAACATAAAAGGAAAATGTATGAAAATATTTTGGCTGTTCTAAGATCTTTTTACCTTTCTAGAAACTCTATATCTGACATGGTCAAACTACGGCCCGCGGGCCCACTCTGGCCCGTCGGGTAATTCAATCTGGCCCGCAGGACACTGCCACAACCAAACTAAACCCAAATTTTGATGTTTCAGCTGAAAATACCTCAAGGAACTTGTCCAAATTGCGATTTAATTTAGTTTCGGCACAAAGCTTATTGTTTTCAAATTTTGCAATTGTAACATTGTAAATATTGTTCATAAAATTTAACAGGCCCGCCAGTTTAGATGGGCGAATTGTCTGGCTCCAGGTCCAAAAACTCTGCCCACCCCTGCAATCTATAAAAACATATGCAATTATTTTTTTTTGTTGAAATGAGTAAACATATATATATTAGCACGATTTATAATTTGTATCTGTGTTGGGCGAGATCATGAACCGTTGCAGGGGTATTGAGTTTTATAATTCAGTTATCATGCAACATATCTTCTATTCCTTAAGCCTTCCTCTTATTGGACACGAAGTGTACATATGGATCGTATGTTGTTGTCCTAATGCCTGTTTGTTAGTATATTTTTTTCATTGTTATGAAAAAAAATCGCTTTTCTCATGAACTCCTGGATCAATTGCTTTGAAATTTTCTGTGGTTAAAATTATATTTTTCGCTAGAAGGCGATTACTTTTATTTATTTCAAAAATTTACGCGGGCTTTTTGGGATTCGTTTTTTTTTATGTGCAATGACGTCATCAAAATAGCCCAACTTAGTCGTGAAGTTTGCGGTACGTTTTGGCTTCGTGTCTATTATGTTTGAGCTTCGCTGTTTTTTCTTCTCTCTCAAATCGAGGGTGGAAATTTTTTGAAGGGAAATTGTCGATGCTTCATCTTCCGGAAGTATAGCTTTAATCTATACTCATGTAGCAGTTCCTATTCTCGGGTCAAAATACTGTGACTTGAACGTCGGAGTGTCTTATGATGACATGCCGATAGTAGAACTTTTAGTTTTATCTGCAAGAGTAATTCTTGTCAGGTGGATAGGAGGCAAAGTACTAGTCATAAGTGAGATTTGTTAAGTCCAGTTATCGCAACTACTGAGCAATATATCAATCCGCACTGCGCATTCTACGTCATCAGGGCTTGCTTTTGGTAGTATTACCATTTCTAATCCAGCACATGCATTCATGAATGAACCCAAGCCAGTAATAGTCAGTATATTGGTGTGATATTTTGAAAAACGAAAGTACGCAAAACTCGGATCTTTATTTAATGATTGACTAACAAAATGATTTCTCCTTTACGCACAAATCGAGATTAAGATCAAAATTATTTCTTATTTACATAAATCATAATTATATGTATAGTACACAATGGTATTTCTAGCATGAACAAGCAATAAATCATGTTTGAATTATATACTAAGTGGATTGTGCCTATTACATCCGATTGCTAATTTCCCCTTCCATAAACACAATAGTTTGGTGATATTTGTATAAAAGGCACATATTGTATTTCATTATAAGAAAAATATTGAATAGTTTCCATGTGTTGCATAGCAGTGGTTCCCAACCTTTTTATCGAGCGACCCAAATTTTGTGAAAAATAAATTTTGTAAAATCTCGCGATCCCAAGGATATGCTTAAATACGAGGCTGTGTGCAATGCTTATGCCTTATATCAGGCCTGCACAACTCAAATTACCACGAGGGTCACAAGCATAAATCTGAAGTCCCGGCGGGCTGCAAACTTTGCCACATACATATTTCACAAGATGAACTACAAATCAAAATAATTTTGTAAAACACTTAAATTAAATGAACACTTTCATTACTGGGGAGCTTAAAAATATGAAGAATCTTATTTTCTTGAGTAAAAACAAGGTACAGTATTTTTGCATATGAGATGGCAAATATGTATTTAGTGATCATCATTTTCATCTACCTTGAAACCCACCCTTCATTTTCAATACTTCTTTTGTATTAGAATTAGGTATTGTGTGTTGCAGTATAAACTGACTGCAGGAAAATATTTTACTCGAGTTCAGTTTTGTAAAATCGTCCCAAATATAAGTATGACAATTTATTTAGTCATATGTATCATTATTGGATATTTCCATTGTATGCTAGACTAGACAAACAATCCGCTTAGTAGCAATAGATTCTCCTCTGTTGTACTTTTTGACTGTTAAATTACATTTTTCTACAAAATCTGTTCCAATTTATTTGAAATTTTACAGTAAATAGCATAATCTTTTGTGCGAGAATTTCTGTACTATTCATAAAAAAGGAATTGTTTTTTAAGTTCGAAATTCGAATCAAAAAAGAAACTTCAGTTTTATAAACTGCTAGTAAAAAATGATGGGGTTAATAATAGGTTGCTAATATGCACTAATGGGTGTGAGATTGTATACCGATATTGTTTTAAGCGTGATTCAGTCTGAATACTGAGATATCTAAATCAGGGTTTCCCAAACTGGGGGTCGCGGGATCGAGCGACGAATTTTAGGGGTCACGAAGTGCACACCAATTTCACACAAAGTTCGATATTCATTGAAACTAGTGCAAAACATAAATCTCACGATTTTGAATATGATCGGAGTAGTGGCGGGCTTGCATAACAATGCCGGCTTTGATTGTTAGACACGAGAAGTGGCGTGTTTCCAAATCACCCGCGGGCCGCACAGAAGTATCTAGCGGGCCGCATGCGGCCCGCATGTTGTGCAGGCCTGCCTTATATGGTCACAAAATAATCTGACTAATGTAAAACAAGCCTTTAAAGTTATATATTTAAACATTAACTCAAAGTGAGAAAGCTGCGCTTAATTGCCAAAAGCCAGTTATTGAAAATCGTGGCGTGGCTTTACTTAATCAAAACAGCAGCCCCCAAGTTTTTACGCTGTGTTACTGTCCACATGTATAATTACTATTGAGTCACACTTCAATGAACTAGATCAGTAGTTCTCAAATTGTGGGGCGCGCTCCATAAGGAAGGCGTAGACAAATTCTGGATGTGGTGTGAAGCTAATTAAAAATGAAAGCTCTTGTTAGATTTAATCTTGCCCACATCGTATTTTGGATAATTACATTTCAGAACTTTTCATTTATTTTATTATTCACGTCACGTTGAATAAACCATATACTTTGACCGTACTATCTGTTACTTGTAGCTCATTGCTAACTAGTTATTTCTAAGGTGGGGCGCGAGACTTGGCAAATTCTAAAAAGTGGGCGCGGCTTAAAAAGTTCGAGAACCACTGCACTGGATCGAATTCACATATCAAACACACTAGAAAATAAAAGCAGTAACTTTAGTTTTTTGTTGAAGAAACAGGCGACCCAAGAAAATTTCAGGCCACTCCACATTGGGTTGCGAATCATAGTTTGGGAACATTGTTGTATAGCATTTAAAACATTAAACCCATGACTAGTTAGTTCATTTAGAAGAGCGAGATTTATTTCGTCAACCCGAATAAACAGTCGTAATAATGAAAAATAGGGCTACAAAAAACACTTTTTTCGGTATGGACTAGAGGGAGCGATACGACCACGCGGTCATCGGAGTCAGCTCTCTCCAAGTTTGCGCTGATGAGTTCACAGTAAAATATGACTATTAGAAGTGGTTAAAGTTCATGAAACAAAATTTGAAAATAACGCCAAACATGAGTTGCACAGGGTTCTACTTGTAAGAGTATTGCTAACGACTCTTGGTGGAAATACCGTTGAAATCTTTATCATTACCAAGGCCATACCTAATTCACGAAATTCCCATGCAATAAATACAGTACAATGCCTACATTTTTGATTAACGTTTTGTATTTGAAATGTTTTACATCCCAGATTTGATACCTCAATGTCCACGAATATTAATATAGCTACTCAAATAACTTTTCCATTTCTACACATGTTTTTTGATTTTTTTGTGTCTTTTTTATACATGACATTTACTCAAAAATAATCAAAAAAAAATCAAAAACGTGATAAATACAAATCAAACAAATAAAATATGAAATAAATGCATCGAACTTTGATAAATTCAGAGAAAATTTTTTTGTTTGTATTTTTTTGAGTGAAAGTTGTATGAATTGTCATCAATTTCAGCGGGAGTTGCTGGCAACAAGGCAGAACCTTTTGGTGGTTAGTCTTTCTTTTTGTTTATCGTAGCTTCCCATTTTCATATGGTATAACGCCAGATCAAATTTGTTGAGCAAAGTATGCGGTATTTCCCTACAATTTCTAACATATCAGGCATATGGCTTTGTTTAAACAATAAAGTTGTCTCGGACTAATGCTACCATCATATTAATCGAACATGGTGTGCCCAATTCGAACACTTCAAATAGTTCAAATTGCAGTTACGCAACAGTTGTTCTAATTAATCTAATAGATTCATAATTGTACTATGTTTCCAGAGTTTGTTGGATTTTTATCTAAAAGTAGTCTAATTCTTATTTTAGCACGACTGAGAATAAATCCGATGCAACCTGGAGAACGCCAACCACCACATGATGAAAATGCCATTCGAGAAGGAAACCAACCACCACATGAACAAAATGCTATTCTAGAAGGTGAATTTGAACTAAAAATTATATTTTCCGATACCTACGATTTGCTGTCTTTTCCACGAACAATCTGTTATACACTTCCAACAATACTTTGACTATCTTTCTAAGGTTTTAGGTCATTGGAGTCCGTTCAGTTATCTAGTTTGGATCAGTTCTAGCTTTCGCAATGAAGTTCTGCTCATAGACATTCTGTAGTTATCTGGCCCCGACTATGAATTTCTACTTACTTTGCATAATCTCGCTTTAATTTACTATATTAAAGTATCTAGATCAGTGTTTTTTGAACTTATTTAGCCGCACCCCCGTTTTAGAATTTGTCAATTCTCTCGCCCACCTTAAAAATAACAAGCTATCTATAAGCTACAAATAACAGCTAGTAAGGCGAAAGTATGTTTTATTCAAAAAACACGTTGAAAATACGTGGATGGAACCCAAATAATGAAACAAAGTGAAAAGGTTCGAACTGAAAGGATCTAAAATAAGGTGATCAAATCTAACAAATTATTTTCTTCACGCCCCCTCAAAATTTGTCTACACACGGACAACTAATTACATCTAATGGGGGCGTCTACAACGACTTACATCTAATGAGGCGCTACCCACATTTGAGAACCACTGATCTAGATGATAACATTGATTACGTTAGTTTTCAAAGCACTATACACAAATATTTTTCAGAAATAGAGGTAATTCGTCAAGATATTGGTAATTTACGCCAAGAATTCCGCGACGAAGTTGGGGAGCTTCGTAATGGCATGAACCAAATTATGGCTTTGCTTATGGAGCAGAATGCACAAAGACAACAAAGTGCGAGAAATAAGCAAAAATATTTATCAATATCATTCACTAAATTGAAATATGCGTAGTTTTTTCAACACACCCTTGATAATATATTTCTAGTGTTATGAAAATCGAAAATAACCTTTTTTAAATTCAAGTTTCATTGTCTTCTGCCAAAATAAAGAGATTGTGAAGAAACACGTAAACCATGATTTTACAACTACCACCGAACAGCCCTCAAAGTTTTAAAAAATACATTTTATGGTGTATATCATTTAATATCACACCTTTCAATATAAACATTTACTATTTTTCAGATCAGCAACCCTCACGCGATATGGGGCAGCAACCATCAAGCGACATGGGTCAGCAATCATCAAACGGCATGGGGCAGAGCAATCACGGTATAAAGTTTTTATATTTATTACCACAATCAAAGTTACTAAATTGATTGTGCTTGTTTGCATTTATTGACACATTTCATTTCAGCAACTTTATGCAATCTGAGGATTTAGAATAATTAAAGCATATATATTAAAACAACAGCATACCTATTTTAAGATTCAATTCGAGTAATATAGATATCCCTCAATAAAAGCAAAAACTCAAATTGTCTTCGATATTCACCCGAATTTTACCAAGTTTTAATTTGACGTGTAATCCAAATATTTTGTTTCCACAGATCGCCAATAAGCTGCCGCTGCAATAATTAAAGCTTTCTTGCAAAAACCAAAGCCAAACAAGATAATGCTTTTTGGAAATATATTCGTTTAATACAATTGTAATTTTTAGATTAATTAGTGACCATTTTTTCTATTATATCATTAAGATAATTTATTTGCGCACAGTTTGCTTATATGGTAGAATTATCACATCATAAAGAGAGCAATGCACACATTTAGGAACTCGAAAGTCAAACCGTCTTAAATTGGGTCTATTATTAGAATTAGGATCCAGATAGGCATCAGTTGAAAAATGAATACGACTTTTTGTAAGATAATTTTTGTTTTAAGAAATTGTTCCCATAGGTCAATGTAATAAATTTAATTACAACAACTGAAACGACTCCCCAGAATGACGTATTGAATTGATCTACTTCGTTTCTATATATAATATAAATAATTTTATGTCATTGGAATTTTGAGATACAACAGCTTCATGCAAATTTGGAATTTGTTGTGTTGTTATTCAACAATTGTATTTCAACATTTCATTAATTAAATGCTTCATTTTAATTTGAATAAATCCAACAAGTTCAAAGTTGTTATTTTTGAATTTGCCATTGGCTTCCAGGATGCAGAATGAGAAATCCAGTACAACCTTAGGAATCTTGCTCCATCACAGCAGCAAAGCACTTGCTAAATGCTACAATATAAACTTCATTGCTTGGATCTTTTTGAAAGTATAATTTTGTGATTCAATGTTGAAATAGTCAGAAATGGTTTACACACAACAGGTTTCTGGGTGAAAACAGCGAGTTAATGTAAAGTAAATTTGAAACCCAATTTACGACCCAAACAGGTCGTATCGTTTCCTCTCAGTCATATAACGAAAGTATGTGTTTAATTATTATTTATATATGTATGCATATGTTGTTTTCTTGGTCTGAAAATAAAAATAAACACTCTTTCGTCTCGGTAAATCAAATTCAAGAAAATTAACAAATTTATTACACCATTCGTATTCGAAAGCAATGCTTGGTGTCATTCTTCCAACTATAGAACCGATATTTCTTGCTTTTTATTGCACCGATATAGTCATTGCATTTACCCAATTTCGAATAATTTTGATAAATTTCGGTTACGTAAAACACCAATAATACACCATAATTGAACTGTTTGAAGTAATAATCGAAAATAAAAAAAATTTCCTCTGGGATGTCGTCTCCTAATCCGTAGTGCGTTTGTGACGGCATGATTAAGTCATTGTATATAGTTCATTGATGACAATTTCATCCTGATTCATCATGTTGTATGGATTTTCAATGAAGTTGGCTGCATTGTCTTGTTCGATTACGATATCCAGGTCTGGTTCGTCGTGGGCGTTGTCATATATATTGTTTTCGTGGTGTGAATGTTGAATATCACTGCTACACTTTTGTGTAGTTTTCTTGCTTTTTAATCTGTGTAAAAAATATCGTTATTTGTAATTTTGAAGTTTTATGTCATTGAAATAGACATTTGCATACACAGACTCATGCTCCACAAGTGTATCGAGATTAGAAGAGTGTTCATGTGGCGTGAAAATGCCGAAGTCTGAGCAACTGATATATAAAACCAACGCAAAATATTGGGCGCAGCAAAGTATCCCAAGGGAAAACGCCCTGGTACGTATACTGCGGTGGCACCAAATATTGATTTCGTTATTACGTATTTCCATGACATACAGAACTTAGATGCTGAAGGTACATTTCAAACTCTGTCCTGAGTTACGAAATAGTTTTTATTGATGTTGGCGAAGAATTTTTCCAAAGTCAAGTATTGTTGTACATTGAAAAATAAAAATAAATGAAAACTCTAAGACTCTGATGGTGTAAAATTTATAACTTAGATTGCCTAGAGCCGAATGCTTTGAAATCAGATTCGAATCCGAAGAATGCTCCGCCAACTTGGAGTCAGTTTATTAATCAAATGGCTCGGCGGTAAAGATAGGCACAGCGAGTAGGCATATAGGCATACCTTTGAGTGACCAAAACCAATACTGCAACACCTTCAATCAAAGCAATAACTCCAAATACAATCGAGAGGGCAACTCCAGTGTTGTCGCTCACGATGGACTCAGTTCGGCGATCCCCTGTGGGGATAATTCCGGTTCGGTGAACCTCTGTAACCGTTTTTTGGGTGGTTGGGGACGTCGTCGTGAGTGAATATTCTGTCGCACCGTTGGACGTAGCAGTCATCATTGGTGTATCTAGATTATAAACGATTGACTATGTATAAGAAGCATTTGTGAAATGTAACCTATGTTTTATTACGTGTACGGAAAATTCAGCGCAGAAAATTCGCCGATTTTTTCATAAAAACATCAAGGTTGTTTATAGGGTTAGGGTAAGCTCTTAAATAACGTATCATTTTTAAATAAAAAAGTACTTTAAAAAACAGTTTTTATCACAAATAATTGTTTTGCTCTTGTGCAATTTTTCCTATGCGGCGAAATTTACTGCGGAGAGATTTCATACGGCAAAATTTCCTGCGGCGAATTTCCCAAGAACCTTTTCTCACTCTATGTTTTAAAAATTGTGCACCTCAAGCAATAACCATATGTCTTGGTAAAAAAAATCAAGAAAACCTATAAATTGATGACACCGCATGCGCCTGATTATTGCTCGTATAATAACATGAAAGATGAATTGCGTTTTGTGCTAACGTTGGCATAACGTAATCAGATTTTGAATAATATTCGGCAGAATTTCAAAGCTGGGTCAAATTCTGTTATATGGCATAACGCAATTTTTACGACGTTTATGGTTTATATCTCTAAAGAATCACTAAAAAATCCATGTACATATTTAAATAGACATTATATAATAAATATACAAGCGTAACCATTCATTGTTCATAAGACAAACCTAATATATTTTCTTCATTCATTATGTATTCATAAGCAACGTTTAGCTTCATGTTTCTATTGTAATAATTTTTCCAAAAATCAACCACGACCGGAAAGATGGGATCTTGGAATATTACAATACATCCGTCGATAAGTGATCTGTTTGAAAGTGATGAGTTTGTTGACACGACAACAAAACATAACCCTTCTTGAAATTTACAAAGTTCGCGGTTATTTTGAAACGCTGAAAATGTAAACAAGTTGTTTAATACTTCCTCTTTTCCAACGATTTGTTTGGGGTGGACTTATTTCTGAATATAAATTGAATTAGGGAAGGAAGTTTTTAGGACAGCATCCTCTGTTTTAAAATACGTCAATACTATTTTCTATTTGTAATTAATTATTCATATTTAGATCACAATACGGAACTGTGAAATATGGCCCTCCACAAGAATAAGATTTAAATGCGATAACTGATGCATCTTAGTATTTTCTATTTTTAGCGAATTGCTCGGATCAGAAACTCTTCCCAAATATAAATTGAATCGGGGATAAATGTTATTTTCTGTTTACTTAACCAAGTATCAGATATTCAAATACTATTTTCTCCTTGTAATTACTCAAAGTGAGACCCAATGTGGAACTGGGACATTAAAAAACTTAAATACCAACTGAAGCACTGAGACATGTTTATAAATTTAATGGTGAAATAGAGGCCCCGCTTAATGTTGGCTGATGTGAGATTTGAATCGTCGGGGTCATCTGCATCTCAATATTTTCAATATGGCTGGCCGAAGCACAACCATATTAAAATTATAAAATTGTTTCAAATGATAAAAACACGACCAGCAGATTAATATAATTTCGAAAATCAAAATCATAGACGAACCTGATATTTTTAGATATGCTTTGCAATCGCCGAGGTTTGTCAGACTCATTGTATTCAATGGAATCACCAACGCACTTTCTTTGTAAACACAGGTATCTGCATTCATATTCCATTGACGGGAAAACCAGTACTTGTCATCATACTCAAAAGCATTAGCATTTTCTTTGCAGAGATCCACCGGTACATAAACTCCATTCGCCATAACAAAAAGTCCTGAAAATATGAGAAATTGAAAGAAAGGATCGCACAAGTAATCTGTAGTGACATAGGCGATATGGAAGGCAAGGATTAGAAATAAAAGTTATTTAGTTTTTTATTCATATTTATTTATTCATATTCTCAGTTGACATTTCAAATAATTGTTTTAGGTTGTAAAGTTAACTAGTAAACGTAGTACAAATATTCGATTATATCTAAGACGTTGCGCCGAAGTAGATTGAAAATACAGGAAACCTATGAAAGCTTACCTAATAATAAGATTATCCTGACTCTGAGCATGTTCCACTATCGTTGTTTAAAAAATTCCTATTAGTTTTAGAATCTATAAAAAGTAAAGATATCACTCATTTGCTAATGAAATAATACAGCAAAAGAAGCTGCTAGGATTCTTCTTAATCCAAAGTTTTTTTTTTTAACTGGCATCAGATATAATAAAATAGCTCGTTTGCCAGCGCGTGATATACAATACACAAAAAATATCTCCCGGACGATTTGCTATCAACCCGACGTAACGTAATAAACTTATTATTTATTCGGAGTCATTTCGTGATTCATACCGAATTCCAAAAAAATTAAATGGTATATATTTGTATAATAAAAACAATTGCCGGTACTCCTGAAGTGTGCACCAAGATGTCGCATAACCTGAACCCTAACCTGGTACACAACCTGAGTTCAGGTTGTGAGCTATCTTGGTGCGCATACTTCAGGAGGTCCCAATTGCCTCTCATGGTTGATCTTGAAACAATAAAATTCAGAACTTCCTATTTGAACAATATTCATATAAAAATCGATATAGCAAAGCCTCTCTACATCAATGCTCGTCAACCGCGTGTATAGTACACCACATGGTGTACCCAAATTTTTCAAAGGTGTACTAGTTCGATAGAGTGTACTGGGATGTACCGAATGCTATTGAGTAAACACTAATACACTATCCAAAATGTATTTATGAGATTTGGACTTACTCGAATTGCGATCAGATTTGCTACAAAAGGCAGAGTTCATAACATTTAAAAAATTTGGGTACTACAAGTTCCCGGGTGTACTACAGTCTTGCACAAAAAGCTGTTTCCATTCTCAGTGGAGTGCCTTAAAATTCAAGTCCAACATGTACATCTTCCAAACATTCTGTTTTTGTCTGATTAAAATTGACTCGAAATGGTAGCTGATAACTTCTACATATAATTTGCCGTGTAGACGACGGTGTCTGTGCAAATATTGCTAGGGGTTATCATGACAAAAAAAATCAGATAAAAGTTGCGTGTTTGACTCACGAAAAGCTTCCTTATCGGTGAACGATCTTATTTTTCAAACAATTCACAATGCTGATTGGCCAGAGAACTTTGATCTCTTCGTACAGAAAATCAACTGATTGTAAAAAAATGGGCATGGGGATTCGAAGATAGTTACAGTCCATAGAACTCCTGTTACAGCCCATGGAGCATATACACATATTTTACACAGTGTTCAACGGGTTAATAACCCCCCTCCTAATCTCTCTTTATTACTACGTTTATAACTTTACCTGAATCATTCATATTTTTTATCGTACGTGACGGATAAAGTTCTGAAATATCCAAACGAAATTGTTTTTAATTTATTCCGTTCCTGCAATGCACTTCTCCGAGAAATCAACATTAATGAACATTACTGATGAGCTAACTCGCTTCATTTATACCTATCAGTCATAGCTCACTGTATATCAATATAGCAATCATTTACTGCAGCTAACCATGGAAATCCAGTCGAAGAAGGAAATTACTCCCACCTACACGTATTGCTGATTTTTTTACTATTGTTGCCCACGTTTATTATGGTGAATCAACCGGAACAAGTATTTTAATAATTCTGAAATGCAGAAAAGCGCATAAGAATGCAGATAAAAGATTGCAGATGTTGTGCACATGCAGACGTTGTAGGCTGGGTCCCATGTGTCTCCTATGTTTTTGTATAAAATCAATTTCCTGGCTACGGCAGCAATTTAAACAAATCGTCCACATTTTGTTACACGTTACTTATACGTGAAAATATTTGTGACGCGTGAGCCTGTCCGATAACGCTGTAGGTATTGCTTTATCTTATAACTATGACTAATAGACAAAAGGCGTTTATATCGAAGTCAATATAATACAATTAGGCGGAATATTCTAAAAATCATGTCTCACAATGATTGCAAATGGTTTGTAATAAAATCAACCAACATTTCAGAGTGAAGCTGGGGATGCAACTCATATTGATCAACGAATAATATTTTCGCATTTTGATATACGATCCTCAAAAGGGTCGCATAGGTTCTCAAAGCGCTCTATACGGAGCCCCAGGGCGTCGTGGGGGCTCCGCAAGGTATTCAGTTTTCTTAAAATACTAAATTGGCTAATTTCGTAACTTTCCAATAAAGCAATAAAGAAATTAAAAAAAATTGACAGCTGCACCTAAAATATTTTTTAGAGCATAAAATATACATCCGAGTCATTGAATAAAGTAATTTTAATTACTCCGGAACATTAATCTGTAATTATTTTTATTACTTATCGATCTTGATCGGTAAGTATGTTGATAGGTATTTGTTTGTTTGTCTGTCTGTTTGTTTGTCTGTTAGACACTTTCGTATCTTACGCGATATCTCACGAAAGCGAGGTTGAATCTGATCCAGATTTCACATGTGCATTCATCATGTCTCGGACCAGAAGCCTATTGATTATCTCACGAAAGCGAGGTTGAATCTGATCCAAATTTCACATGTGCATTCATCATATCTCGGACCAGAAGCCTATTGATTATGAATTATGTCGTATTATTAGCGAGTTATTGATTAATTAGTGATGGGACACATGGTGTCGCTATGAAGTTAGAGCGAATGAATCGAAACCGCAGTTTCCGTTTTGGGGATCCCCTAACTTTCGATCGATAAGTCTTCGGTCTCCAACCGATATTCTTGTTACTTATCGATCTTAAGATCGGTTAGTATATTGATAGGTATTTGTCTGTATGTCTGTCTGTGTGTCTGTGTGTGTGTCTGTTAGATGCACGCGATATCTCACGAAAGCGAGATTGAATCTGCTCCAGATTTTGCATGTGCATTCATCTTATTTCGGACCAGAAGCCTATTGATTTTGGGCGAATTATGTCGTATAATTAGCGAGTTATCAATCAATTATTGATATAGTGATCTAGATTTTTGTAAAGCGAGAGAATTCTGAAACCCGCCGAGTGTGTGTGTGCGATGCGCAGTGCGCAAGTTACAAGAGCGGATGAACCGAAACTGCAGTTTCTGTTTTGGGGGATCCCCTAACTATCGATCGATAAGTCTTCGGTTTCCAACCGATATTCTCGTTAATATATTGTGGGGTTTCGTGAATAAAACCCAATCCGCTATTCAGGCATGATGTACACACGCTATTAACAAAGGCAATTTATTACATCGTTCCCGTTGAGTCATATAACAAAGAATACGCATTTCTGACAACCACGCACGCATAGTCCAATATATATTCATATATTTGTATATCATTCAATACTCAAAATTCTGCGTAAAACCTACGAATTCTGTAAAATACAGTTTTATTTCGTTAAAACACATTCAATTTTTTTTTTATATTTACGTGTTTGCAATGTTTTTGGTCTTTTTTGACGGTTTTGCACGTTTTTGCAAGATTTTGATGGTTATTGACGGTTTTTCACGAATTTTGCTTATTACTTCCGATTGCTTGATTGTCGTACCATTAACCAGAATAATCTTGCAACATTGGTATAACCGACGTAGATCATATTTCAACAATAATTTCTGAAACTAATAGCTTCCGATTATTTCAAATTATAAAAACATTAGGTATTCAAATTACAACAATCTGTCTACACAGATTGACACTTGACAGACGAAAATTTACCATATCAAATTTATGCAAATAGATTGACTTTATAGGTGTCACTGACACGATTGATGGTCTGTCTATTCGCGACTCCTCGTCATTTGCGTTGACTC